GATCGAGAATTAAACCAAAGTGGAGAGATGTATCTCCCAAGAGCCCGTGTGTAAAGAAAGTTTTAACAAAGTGGGATTCCTTGGTAATTGAAGATGGAGTTCTGATCCTGGAGCAAACTAAGTTTGATGTTGTATTGAAACGTGTTGTGGTTCCAGAAAGCAGACAGAAAGAGGTTTTGCACCTTACACATGACTTCCCACAGGAGCTCATCTTGGAATCAGTAAGACAGAGGAGAAAATTAAACAAGGTTATTACTGGCCAGGGTTGAAGCAGGATGTACAAGATTATATAAATTCGTGTAAACAATGTGCTGCGATAAAGATGAGGAAGAGAAAGGCACCATTGTCCTCCTATGCTGCAGGTGCGCCCTTGGAGAGGATTGCGATAGATATCGTTGGACGGATTGATCCACCCACGGAGAGCGGAAACCGTTATATTCTCGTTATCTGTGATTATTTTACTAAATTTGCTGATGCTTTCCCAATAAAAGATATTGAGGCAAGAACCGTGGCAACTACTCTAGTGGAAAAGTTTATCTTGTCTTTTGGAATTCCAAGACAAATTCATAGTGATCAAGGCACACAATTCGAAAGTTCCGTGTTCCAAGAAATGTGTCGTATGTTAGGAATTTATAAAACAACTCCGTACCGTCCCCAGTCCAACGGTCAGGTGGAACGGAATAACAGAACCATTAAAAGCATGTTGTCATCGTTCGTACAACAGAAGGGTGACCATTGGGATACGTATTTACCATATGTGATGTATGCCTACAGAACCAGTAAACACGACACCTCTGGTGTTACACCTAATTACGCCATGTTTGGAAGAGAGTTCAACACTCCGCTCGATCTTCAGTTTGGTCGTCCACCACAGTCAGTAATAGAGCAACATGTGTGGAATAAAACTTTAAGGGACAGGCTCATCTTTTGTCACCAATTTGTTCGTGACCAGATCCAGGTGGAGACTAAACGTCAGAAAAACTATTATGATCACAGGAATGGAAATCAGGTGATAAAGTATGGCTGTTTACACCAACATTGACGCCCGGTATCCCCAACAAATTCGCGAAACGATGGAAAGGACCATTTGAAGTTGTGCGAAAGCTCAGTGACATAACGTATGAGATTGAAGATGGTACCTCTAGACGTAAACAGGTGGTTCATGTAGATCGGTTAAGAATATACAACCAACGTGACGAAGAATCTGACAGTGATGCACCATGTGAACCGATAGACGACTTCCTTGACAGTGACGACAATGTAGATGCCGATAGAGATGCGTCATGTGAACCGATAGATGACTCTCCTGACAGTGACTATTGTGATACTAATGTGGGTGGCGATAATGCGGAATCGTTAAATGTCCAGGGTTTTGCTCCTGTAACCTCTAGGTATGGAAGAGTACGCCGACAACCTGCTTATCTCGACGCATATGTAATGTGTGTTTCTTCTATTCCAAGGAAGATGGGCGAGAGGAAGAAGGATGATGAGAAAAAGAAGCATGATAATAGGAAGATGGGCGAGAGGAAGAAGGATGATGAGAAGAAGAAGGATGATGAGAGGAAGAAGGATGATGAGAAGAAGGATAATGAGAAGAAGGATGATGAGAGGAAGAAGGATGATGAGAAGAAAATGGATGATGAGAAGAAGAAGGATGAGAAGAAGAAGCATGGTGATAGGAAGATGGGCGAGAGGAAGAAGGATGATGAAAAGAAGAAGGATGGTGAGAGGAAGAAGGATGAGAAGAAGGGTGGTGATAGGAAGAAGGACGAGAAGAAGAAGGACGTTGGGAAGAAGGATGGTGAGAGGGAGAAGGACCAGAGGAAGAAGGATGATGATAGGAGACAGGATTACCAGCATGATGACCAGATTGTTGAGAAGAAGGTTGACAAGAAGGATGGTGCGAAAAAGAAGGATGATTACAAGACGGAGGATGATAGCGATATAGATGATGGGAAGAAGGCTAATAGAGAGATAGATGACGAGAAAAGGGTTGATGAAGATATAGATGATGGGAAGAAGGCTAATAGAGAAATAGATGGTGGGGATAAGGATGATAGTGATGGAGAAGATAAAAGATTTAGAATGGAATGGAATGGTGGTTTGTTGAGGATGATAAGGCTGGACAAAGAGTTGGGTGGTGCGCCTAATCTTAATTTCTCTTTATATAGTGATATTAGTGAAGAGAGTAGTGCAGGTGGAGACTCTTTGGAAACGTCGGGTGATGGTGAGGAAGTAGAGGAGAAAGAAGGAGGGAAAGTGGATAGAGCTACAGAGACGGAAGTGGAGACAACGGAAACGGGGACGCAGTGTTGTATGGTGAGGTATAAGAAGATTGTGGAGGTAGAGAGTATGACGGAGGATGGAGAGAGGAGGACAGTGAGAGTAGAGACGGATTGGGAGGTAGAGATTGGCGAGCAATTGTTGTTGTAGAGGCTAGGCCTATTCATTTTGTTTTGTTTTTATTCTATTGTTATTTCACTTTGTGCAATGCGGGACGCATTGGACGGAGGCGTGGGTAATGTGATGAATCAAAATTATTTCTTTTATCTTTTTGGCTTTTATTTACTTTGCAAAATTTAATTAACCTTTGGCTTACTTCTCACATTGCTCCCGTCTTCGTCCCTTATTTACTTTTCTTGTTTATATCATTATCCTTATTTATTTTTATCATTTGGACATATTCATTATTAAATCCGTAATTTTTATTATTGTCACGTAATTTCACGCTGCTGCGAGATAACGGTTACCTGTGATCTCGCGAGATTTTCTCGCTATATAAACACAAGCAAACGATTCTTCAGAAACAAAGAGAGAAAGAGAGTGTGCTCTCAGCAGGTTAGAAATCGTTCTCTATGAGCTCTACCCCGAAGGTCCCATGTGACTAGCTTTATCGGCGGTATCTCATTTTTGCGTGATTCTGGGGCTGTATAGCAAAACCCCAACCCCAGATTAATAAATCCAGTTACACGCTACATAAATAAATAAATGGTCTAATCTTCGATGCCTCGTATTGTAGTAGTATTGCTGTAAAAAAATCCTGGATTGCAATCAATCCAAATACATGAGTTTTTCCGCTTCTTCCTTCCAGGAACAGATACGTCATTTCTTTTGACCATTCTTACTTTAGTCTTAGAAACGGGAATATTTAACTAAGCCAATCAGTAATAGTGTTCACAACTCGAAATTTGAGCATTGATATCCACCCGAGCCTTATTCGCGTTTGAATGTTAAAATGACGACTCTTCATTTTAAGATACTCTTTGATATATAGAAAAGACATATAGAAATAGTGAGTTAAATTCCTAGTTTGAATTACGATTTACGTACATGTCGTGTACTTCTGAAGACTATTTACTTATATTCAAGACTAAAAACAACCCTCCAATATGGGGTTCAAGATCAAGGGGTTGCACGCTTGGTCGCTAACCCAGGGGTTTTATTTCGATTTGCCCTTCATTTTCATGTAGGTCTGAAAGGATTTAAACAGAAATAAGTCATTATTTGCACAGTTTTTGTCATTTCCGTGACTCGGTGTATGCTGTTTTTAAAATGGGGTTGATTCAGTAGGCGTGGGCATTATCAACAATGCTTTGGGCTTTTTTTTGTGATTCAGTCAAGTTCTGTACTTGCTTGTTGATGCCCTACCGTTCAGATTCGCCAATACACCAAGATCGTGCAGTACACGTTGAGATTTTTCGACAGTGACCAGAGAAGAAGGTGGTCCTTTTTCAGCAACTTATCGGGTTATTGAGAACCGAATGATTCGATTTAACAGATCAGTCAAGTGTACAGTTGATTTACATTACTGATGGTATGGATGTAGTAAAAACTTCTGATTCTGAAAATTGTTTTTATTGAATAGTAATTGAATCTAGCCGCATTTTCATCTGACCTTTGTCTAACCATTATAATTGAATTTCGCGTCTCGAATCAAAATATGAGAAAAGGGTCTGTCTAAAAATACACTATATTCTGACACCTTGTTCTCGGCTTTAACACTCGAGGTCACGTTATCGACTAATTACTTGCTTGAAATTCAATTATATTTCAGTGAAATCTTGTGAAAAATTAATCTCATGTCTTTTCCAACCCAGACCTCTTGTCACCTTCTTTCTGGTCAATAGCGAAATTCCTTTGCTGCCTCTAACAATCTTCGATGACATGATTCATCCATGTTAGAAGTACATGTACTATTGTACTGAACGTAACAATAGTATTTTTGCATGGCAACTAGTTGGAAAAATCTATGCTCACCTTTTTCGAACACCCGATGCCACTTTGAAATTGGGTTTGGCAACAATAGAAAAATAACATAGACATGCACTGAACAAAAGACTTTAATAGTCCCGTAAGTTGAAATATTCTAAGCTCACTTTACTCGAACACCTCATGTCATTCTGTGATTGGATACAGAAATGAAAGATTTCATTGGAAGATGATTTTGAGTAACAGCTTTACAACAAAGGTAGAATTCTACCAGCTACAATCCAATAGAAAATACATGTATTGAACTGTGCTGCCGATGAGGACCTGGAGTTTGGGATTTACTGGATTTGCAAAGACTGCTAGCAGTTACTGACTTAGTAATTACTGGTGGCAACTGAGATAAGTATCTAGATTTAGTCGACCCGAGTGTCTCCGAGTTTGCCATGAGTTTACCTTCGGATTTTTCAACCCGGTCAGTGATGCAGGTAAGAGGGGCTGAAATGGAAAAAGCGTCTAGTCGTTCGGATGGGACAATAAACCGAGGCCCCGTGTGCTACAGGCTGTGCACGTTAAAGATCCCTCGACAGTTGGAAAGAGCAGGCTAATGCCGCTGCCCTGGCAAACTTTCCCTCATCGCACTCTGCATGGCGTTGTCCGTCTTCATTAGCCCACATGGTGCAGAAAAGTAGGACGTAAAACTCCATTCATTTAATTTTTTTTGCCATGAGTTGCCCGTTGTACTTTCATAAAATAAGACCCGAACAGAGCGATCAGAGGGACCATTCTCGTGCAAAAAAGATACGAAACTGGCTCTCGGCGATCGTTTTGATGCGAAATCACCGTGCTCTCGAGAGAAAGACATGTTCTATATTAAATGCGGACGAGTCTACGAATAATTAAAGAAGGAGCTGATTTATTGTAAACAAATCGGGTGCATGCTAGCTAATTATCTTTCTTTTATGCCGTACTCACATCTATATAATAATATAAGACGTTATTTCCCGAGAGGGACAAGTCAGCTGTTTATTCCAGCCAAAATCAATAAAATTCCATCAGTTAAATTTTCAAAATTTGTGCTGTATATTCCATATGATTTCGATTTCGAATTTCTTAATGAAATGACGCTTGGCCGCTCACGTATCCAACGATTTTTGATTGGCATCGAACAAGATAGTATTATATTAAATGTCTATCAAGATACTTGAAATTCTAAATATATTTTAATATAATATATGTCATTGGTGCAATGTATTAAATGTTGATGGACAAGACATTTTAAAATGAGAAAATATGAGTGACCGGATACAATGTATTTATAAAGTTTTCATCATTTAAAATTTCAATTTATTCATAAATTAAACATGTCACTTTCGAAAAATAGTCATATGAGGCGACACATGTGATATTATCAATGGTTAATGAAAAGCATATTAAGGGAAGTAACTAAAATTTTAAAATGTTCAGTATGTTTATATGTAAAAATTTTGTAAAGTTTTCGACACTTTGGAATTTATAATAATTTCTACAAAATCATGTCAAAAAAATAAATTTGTGTTCGGTGATGTCGACCATAGAACTATTCTACTGAAACTTCACTTTAGAGAATACATCCGACATTGTTTTGCGGTCCCAGTTTATGTAGGATTACGCAGAGTATACTGTATATTGTATTTAAATGAAATCGTTATTAGATAAGTACGAGCGAATTGGCATCGCTGTACCGACAAAGGTACTCTCATCGCACACGGCAAGCTTGTCGCTGCAATAGTTAGCAAGTATAACAATATTATACTGGTGCATAGTAGGAAGTAACGCACGAGTTTATTTCAATTCCACAAAATTGTGGTTTTGATAGGTATATGTCCTAGTGATTGGAAGTCTATCAGTATAGAATGTTTAATGGACTATTAGATCTGGAGGGACGATATTATTCAAACTATTTCACATTTATCTAATGACAAATTTCACCACGTCTACTGAACTTATCGCCTCAACGGTATAGTAAATTGAAACATAAATTGTCTAGCCAAGGGATAGAACAATATGGCAATGAAACATAAAATGAAGTAATTTAGACTTTATGGCAGCTGTCTTTAAAATGCCTTTTATGTAATTGGAAGTTTTGTAAACGAACCAACTTAAGAGCTGTAACCATATATTATACAAATGAGGAAGATACCCCATGCCAAATTTGTCAAAAAATATAAATAAATCTAGATAAAAAAGAAAATTTGTAAAAATATGATACCTGCTAATCACACCCTATTGCATTTTGGTTGGATTGTGCGCCAGCGAATACAGCCAGTCATAGCCCTCGGACAGACTGTAAACATGAAAAAATGTATTCTTGTATTACGGAATGCAGCATTTTGGATGGATTGTACGCCAGCGAATACAGCCACTCATAGCCCCCCTCGATAGACAGACTGTACACATCATAAAATGTATTCTTGTATTACGGAATGCAGCATTTTGGATGGATTGTACGCCAGCGAATACAGTAAACATTATTATATATTTCTTACAAACTTTCTGTCGAAGACTCGCACGTACAATCTAACCATATCACTTCCGTGATAAAAGAAAGGTGGTTATTGCAAGCAAGGTATAAGACGAAGTTCGTAATAAATTGACATTGTGGAGACTTGTCTATGTCTCCATTCTGTGACCATAAGCACAGAATTACAAGCTATTACATACCAATTATAAATACGTGATTGTCGTGTCGTAGTAACCCCTACTATAACAATTTTAAGTACATTAATATGTTATTGCGACATTGATCATAAAATTTTATGCACCAATATTCTTTTCTTATTATTTTGCCCCCTTTCACCTTGGCGTGATTGAACTTGATTATTGCGTAAGACATTAAAGATGTCGAACATGACAAGGGTTTGAATGTGTTGTTGACTATAGCTGCACTTCTTTATGACAGGAAATTTTTGAGGTTGCGCGCAGTAACTTGAAATTATGCTAAATACAGTTCTCTATTGCCTTTTGTACAGTTTCTTGTACTTATTTACAATATGAATATAAGATTTCAAGTGATGTTATGTGCGGGCGAAGCATAATTTGAGGAATGCTGGACCATAGAATGACTCGAGGGTTGGTTGTAAGGAATTCACATCCATATAATCAATCAACCAAAGTAAACTGCACTTGAAATAATATTATTATGACATACCAAAGTATGTTATATGCGGAAGAAGCACAATTTAGGA